CCGTGTCCTTGGGCTCCCCACCTCTCAGATGGCCAGCAGCTGCGGAGGGACCTCCTGATAGCTGCAGCCTGGGGCTGAGCTGCCTCTTGTTCAGCCTCCAGCCCGAGTGGGGCTTCCTTCACAAGCATCCCTAAGGGAAGAGTATGCTGGGGGGCCTGGGGAGGAAACTGCTATCCTGCAGAGAAGGCTGCTGTACTCGGGGCAGACCCTCCCTTGATACCCTTCCTTTTAAACTGGGACTGTCCCACATGGGAGCAAAGGTCCCTGTGGGTCCAGCACTCTTGTAGGCAGCAGCATGCCCTCTCTGGCTGGCAAAATCTCTCACCCTGTGGCCTCAACACCTGTGTTAGCTGGTGCTGCCTATTAGGTCCTTCCTGCCCAGCCCCCACGGATCTCAGCAGCTGTGGCCCGAAGAAGGCTGTTCTGACAGTCTCTGCCAGAGGCTTCCTAGGAAGAAGCTGGAACCCCTGGGGCCCAGCCCGGCTCACGTCACTGTGCACAGAAATCATCACCAAGGCAGCCCAGGCCAACAGTGCTGGCCTGCATCTGATGACCTCTCCTTCAACTGATTGTTTTCAAACAGGCAGATAATACATAAAATGCTTATTGTAAGGAAACAGGATGGGCCCCCATAGGGCCTCTGTGTGACCCCAGCTCAGGCTCCAGGGCTGGCCATGACTCTTGAGGCCAAGGACATCTCCAACAGCTCCTTGTCACATAGCCCAGAGGCTTCCAGAACCAGGCCCTGCAGTTGTTTATGGAGGTGCTCTGTCTCCTGGACCAGTGAAGGTGACCTTTAAGGCTGGTGCTCCAGAGCTCATGTGGGCCAAGGACTGGTCGCTCAGGCACGGCCTCTGCTGCCACCTGGTGGTGAGACTGAGACTCAAAAGTGGTTGGAAGACCAGAAGACTGTAGTGAGGATGCCCCCGGTCACCTAGTCCAGCACCTTCCTAGGACCTGGCTTGGGAATCTGATCGGCAAGGGGATTGACAGATTAGCCTGCAGCCATTAGCAAGTCCCCAACAGAACAGGGCAGGATCCTCCTTCCTGGAGCCTCCCACCAGCAGGTTTCCCGTGACTGTAATATCCCACCTGGGGATCTGGACTCCTGGCTTTGAGGGCAAGCAGAAGTGGACTCCAGCTCAACCTTCCCCAGGGGACAGGAGGCAAGTGACTAATTACTAAACTAGGGCTCTCTCACTCACATGTGTGACCAAGCCAAGGCTGCCGGTAGGTTGCCTCAGAGCTGCCGGTTGCCGAGTAGCAGCACTCTGTCAGGTGTAGCAGCTCCCTTGATGAGTTTCCAGGACTGCGGCGATGCTGCTGCTGCTGACGATGACGTCATCATGATGGTGACTGTCCCAGTTAGCATTCCCTATCAACTCGAAACAGCTTAGACTCACCTGAAAAAAAGAGGCATTTTCTTTATCAGATTGGCCTGTGGGCACGTCTGTAGGGGGTTGTCTTGATTATTAATTAATGTAGGAGGGCCCACCCCACTGTGGGCAGTGCCATTCCCTTGGTAGGTGGGCCTGGGTGGTATAAGAAAGCTAGTTACCAGGCTGAGTGTGGTGGTGCACACCTTTAGTCCCAGCACTCTGGAGGCAGAGGCAGGTGGATCTCTGTGAGTTCAGGGCCAGCCTGGTCTATATAGTGAGTTCTGGGACAGCTGGGGCTACAGAGAGACCCTGTCTCAAAAAGACCAAAAAAAAAAAAAAAGAAGAGAAAAAGAAAAGAAAGCTAAGGGCTGGAGAGATGCTCAGAAGTGACGAACACTGGCTGCTTTCCGGAGGACCCACATGGTGGCTAATAACCATCCTTAACTGGAACTGACTCCAGTTCCAGGGGATCCAACGCCCTCTTCTGATCTCTGTGGGTGGTGCACTTCTATACATGCAGGCAAAACACTCATACACATAAAAATAACAAAATATGTTTTTTTAAACTGGTTAACTGCCGAGCGTGGTGGTGCACGCCTGTAGTCCCAGCACTGGGGAGGCAGAGACAGGCAGATCTCTGTGAGTTCAAGACCAGCCTGGTCTACAGAGTGAGTTCCAGGACAGCTGGGGCTACAGGGAGACCCTGTCTCAAAAAGACAAAAAAAAAGCTGGTTAATCATGAACCTTCAAGTTCCGCTTGAGTTCCTGCCCTGACTTCCCTTGGTGATGCACTGTGATCTGGAAGTGTCATCCAGACACCTTTTCCTCCCCAAGCTATTTTTGTTCATTGTTATTGAAACAACAGAAAGAAAACTAGACCAGTGAGAACAGTGGTGGTAGCCAGGCGTGGTGGCACAGCCTGTAGTCCCAGCACTCGGGAGGCAGAGGCAGGTGGATCTCTGAGTTCAAGGCCAGCCTGGTCTACATAGTGAGTTCCAGGACAGCTGGGGCTATAGGGAGACCCTGTCTCAAAAAAAACCAAAAAAAAAAAAAAACCGGTGGTGATGGTGATGATGTCATCATGATGGTGGTGGTGGTCACGATGATATTTTCATAGTAGTGGTGTGATAGTGATGGCATAATCGTGGTGATGATGATGGTCATGATGATGTCATCATGTGTTGGCAATGACAAGATGATGATGGTGATGATGGGGGATGATGTCATCATGGTGGTGATGATGACAATGATGATGAAAATGAAGATGATGGAGTGATGATGTCATCATGGTGGTGATGATGATGATGGCATGGTGACATCATCATGGTGGTGATGATGGGTGATGATGTCATTATAGTGATGGCAATCATGGTGGTAATCATGGTAATCATGGTGGTGATGATGGTGATGATGGAGCATGATGTCATCATGGTGGTGATGATGATGATGATAGTGATGACAGCATCATGGTGGGGGTGATGCCATTGTGGTGGTGATGTTGACATCATGGTGGTGATGATGATATGAACATGAGAGCTAGAAGCTGAGGCAAAGCAGGGTCCAGGGAGACTTCTCAAGCTCCCCCACTGGGGAAGCAACCATTGGTAACTCAGCATCTCCCCCCTGGTTGGCCTTGGGGGTCACCAGGAGGGATTTGTCCTAGTTTGTTCATTGCTGTGACAAAACACTCTGACCAATACCAACTTGGGGAGGAAAGGGTTTATTTATCTTACAACTCCCAGGTCGCAGTTCATCCGGGAGCCCAAGGTAGGAACTCAGAGCAGGAACCTGGAAGCAGGAGCCGGAGCCCAGGCCATGGAGGAACGCTGCTTACTGGCTTGCTCCCCTGGCCCCTGCTCAGCCTGCTTTCTTATACAACACAGGCCCACCTGCCCAGGGGTGGCACCACCCACAGTGGGCTGGGCCCTCCCACATCACTCAATATCACTCAACAATCAAGAAAATGCCCCACAGATATGGCCACAGGCCAGTCCAATTGAGGCAATTCCCCAGTTGAGGCTCCCTCAACCCACGTGTGTCAAGTTAACACTAAAGCTATCCAGCACAGGATTGTAGAACAGGCAGGTCCCTGGACTCTGCCCACCAGACTCTGATTGGGAGAGTGTGGGCAGGCTGGATTTGCAAAGTACTGTGGGTGGTTCTTGAGTTTCAGACTCAGGGATACTGGCTAACCCATCCTTTTGTAGGTCCCAGAGTGAATAATTCAGGCTCAGGATGCCTGGGACTGTCCTGGGAAGCTTCCTGACCTGACACACTCCAGGAACTGAGGGGGCAGGTCAGGAAAGAAATCAGGTGCAGTCAGGATCAGGTCTGGTTCTGCCTGAGGCCTCTCTCTGACTGTGGGTGGTATCTTTCTGTGTCCTCTGGGCTGGCTGGCTGTGTGGGCCTCTGTCCTGCTTTTCCTCTTCTTAGAAGGACACAGGCTGGTCAGGGCTGCCATGATCACCTAATTTCACTTTAATCACCTTCCTTAAAGACAGCCATTCTAAAGTATAGGCTATGGTTCAGCTCATCCAGGAAGAGGATGCCGGCACCATCCAAAGGCCATCCTGCTGAGCCTAGCAGTGTGTGGGGTGGGGTGCATTTATGATGTGTGATGTGCATTAGTGTGTGTCGTGCATGTGGTGAACAGTGTGTGTGTGCTGTGCATGCGCAGCATAGTATATGTGTATGCGTGTGTGTGCACAGTGGTGTGTATCATGCCTGTAAAATGCAGTGTGTGTGTTGAGCCTTCTGGGCACCAGGGCATCCCCAAGGCCTGACGGCATTGGCAGGGACTGTGTGGTCATGGTGCCATTCCTGGAACCCCCTGGCTGCTTCCTCGATCCCAGTGTTAGGCAGTGCTCCATACAAGCCCCCCCCCAACGGGATCCTGGGTGGGGGGCAAGAGGTGGCTCTGGGTAGAAGTTCTGATTCAAGGTCCTGTGTCTGTTCTGATGAGGGAAGCAGGAGCCTGGCACCTCTAGCACCTCTAGCACAGGCTAGGACGCAGCCTTCAGAGCCAGCCGTGGAGGGGACCATGGGCTCAGGAGGAAGGACGGGATACCCAAAACCCTCTCGGGGCAGGTAGGAGATGTCCACCTCACCCTCCCAGGTGCCCCCCTCCCATCCCTCCACCCCAAAGTGCGACAACACAAGACCAGACTGCAAGTTGCTTCTGTGCGTGCTCTTTATTGTCTGTCAGGGGCTGCATCCTCGTGGGAGACCGGGGTCCCCAGGAGCAGTACTACATAGAGGGACCAGGCTGCTGGAGCCCCGTGCATGGAACTACAGTCAGGCGGCAGGAGGGGCGGCCAGGGGTTGGCGAGGGGCGTTCTCAGCCCTTGGAGCAGAGCTCGGGTGCTACATGCCAGGACAAGGTCTTATCTCAAGAGTGCCATGCAGTCCTTCCTTCTGACTGACTGGTGCTGGAACTGGGCCACCCTGAGCCTGCATCACCTCAGACCAACACCCCTGGTTCACTGAGCCACTCTCTCAAACCCTCACCCATCTGAAAAGATGGATGAAAGGAAGGAAAGGAAAGGGGAAGGAAGACCCTTTGCTGTGGTCCCTGAGCTTGATGGGTCAGTGGCCTCAGGGGGCAGCTAAGGTGAGGCCTGCTTAGAACGAGGGTGCCGAGCTGGGCTTCTCCTCCTGAGACACAGGAATGGCCCTTTCACTGTGGCCAGCATCCAGGCCAGATTGGACTTTGGGGCCAGAGAAGGTCAGCATGCCATCTGCAGACAGGGAGCAGGAAAGGGCAGACTGGTCCACACTGGAAGGCAGGCGGTATCGGCGGTGGAACTCACGGGAAATGTAGCCGTGGTCGTCCTGGGGACAACCAGGGAAGAGCATGGTCAGGCATGATGAGACAGCAGGGACTGCCATCCCACACTGGAAAAAGACCTTCTCAGACGGCATAAGGTGGCTGTGCCGCAGGTGTTCTCAGCGGCTGCAGGTATTTGAAGGGCCCTGGCTCCCTCAAACCCTAGCATTTCAGCTGCGCCTCTGAGAACTAGAGGCCAGACCTGCCCAGGGCCTGTGCTGTGAAATTGGCTCTTAAATGAGACTCAATCCCAAATCCAATGGTTCCTGGCTCCACCTCGGTTCCCCTCCCCTTTGACCCACAGGGACTGCTGAGGACCAGGTATCTACAGTCCAACCAATAGGTCAGGAAACCTTGCTCAGGCAGAAAGCCCACATCTGGAAGCTCTGAACCCCCCGATTCAGCTCCCTGGGCCCAATTTCTTCCTCCTCTAAGGGCAAATAACAAGAGCTAAAAGGAACGTTCCCGGGGCTAGAGGGGTGACTCAGCAGTGAAGAGCACTGACTGCTCTTGTAGAGAACCTGGGTTCGATTCCCAGCACCCACTTTTCATCATTCCCTAACAACCATCTGTAACTCCAGTCCCAGGGGATCCAATGCCTTCTTCTGACCTTTGCAGGCATTATGTGACATAGGCACACTTACACACATGCAGGCATGTATTGCCTGCATGTGGGTAAATGCGCCCATGTCACGCAATGCCCTTGGAGGACAGAAGAGGCTGTCAGATCCCCTGGAACTGGAGTAACAGCCAGTTGTTAGCTGCCATGTGGGTACTGGGATTCAAACTTGGGTCCTCTGCAAGAACAGTCAGTGTTCTTAACTGCT